AGTATAGATGCAAAAGAGTGCATTGGTAATATGTATAGGGGATGCAGAGAGTAACATTTGGATAACGAGATGTGATATAATTAAATGCTTGAAATCCTCTATCTATTCAGAATCCTAATCGGGTGGGGTGAGAGAGTGATACTTCTATCACCTCTATTATTAGGCGGAGACATATTATCTACCTAAGTTGAGATCTGTGAGGTAGTGACAGAGGAACATTTCATGGACTTGGATTCCATTTTGGTTTACTAGTTAGGTATGATGAGTGATCAATCTAGTGATTATGGTTGGCGATGAGGGGATATATGGGTTCTTGAGATACAAACTACACGAAATATGATATAATAATTGTGGTGAGATCTTTCCTTGGAGTCATTTTATGTATTAGTTGTATATGTTGGTCATTTTCTTGATTAACTTGGTGTTAGTCTAATGTTCTTTGCATGTTGAACATGTTGAAAAGATCTATGTATTATCCTACTTGGTTGGTGTTTGATTTGTTGGTTGAAATTGAGCCCGATATGCATAATTGAAGATCTTGGTGTTAATTTCCGCAACATGGGTCGAGCCCGAAATTGACCAAACTCGACCCACACACATCCCTACTCTTATATATATATTAAGTTTGCCTCTGCAATATATTGACGATTTTTGATAAACGTATGATGATTCAATAACCATTGCATTGCATTATTATCAATATATTTTTAGCTCTCTAACCTAAAATAGTGGGGGAACTCACTAGTAGTCCTTACACATTCACACCTATATGCACTCCCCAAAAAAAAAATATCATCTCGTTGTCATTCCTACCCTCATGATAAATGACGGACACATGATGTGTAATCCCAAGCCCTTGGCCTTGCCCAACCCTTATCCCCCAATCCCCACTCTCACGTGTGAACGCACAATAATATCAAATATGATTACATTTATATTTGCAATAAATTTAATAAATTTTGCAGTAAAATATTTTTTACTTATAAGTAGAATTCACTTATGAGTATAAAATTACTTGTATAAGTAGCGCCAGGCGTTTTATTAGAATAATACATCATAATTAACGTTAATCTTATCCTCCCTAATTGTGTTACCTATAATTGTATATTGTCTAATCCAATATAGTGTACCAAACATACTCTACTAGTTTTCTTTGAGTTCATAGTAAAGGTATCAAGTAAATTCATCTAACTAAAAAACCATTAAATCACGAAACACAAACTCTAGGATCCAACATTTGAAAAACATTGTTTTGACTAATGAATTTTTTGAGAATATATGGTTAAAAAGTAGGGAAAAATTTTGAGTTTACGTGTAAAATATTTTATTTTGTGAATGTGTGGTTAAAAATGAGTATGTAGAAGAAAAATGTTTGAAAGAATGAGAGACAAATATGGACTGAATTTCTTGTTTCAGAAGACAAATATTATTTGCTTTTTTATTTTTTTTGAGAATTTGGTTATGTTGGTTTCAAAAAATATAATCATTCTGTCAATTAAACCAGTTTGCCTTTTCAACCATTCGATTTCTTGTAATAAGCAAAATTGATTAATATTAATTGTTAATAAAGATACAAAATTACTGAGATATTCAAGTGCACGACATAAGCAAATTATTAAAAATAAAGCTAGCACATTTTGAAATTGATTAATTTTGATAACCAAATTTCGCCCAACGTCTACCATTCTCTAAAATTTCTTTTTTTTAACACTTATTTTTAATCACATTTTTTCATAATAAAATGTTTTGCACATAATTTTTTTTTAAAAAAATCTATTTTTAATCACACATTTTTTAAAAACTCATTTTTTTTAACACTTATTTTTAATCACATTTTTTCATAATAAAAATCTATTTTTAATCACACATTTTTTAAAAACTCATTTTTCCAAATTTTGTTTTTCTCAAAATAAAAATTAATGGATATCAAACCGATATTACATGACTAGTTCACATCATCTTTTATAGGAAGTACGAATTCTCGGTGCAATAAATTTCAATTGATCAGTGGGGCCCACACTCATCAGTGTGGGCTGTACATACAGCAGATCTCCATTCGAATTTCCACCATCACCACAATTGAAATAATTAATATTTTAAGCCCACGTGCTTTGTTATTCTATTTTATTATTCCACGGACAGGTCAGTGCTTTTGGAATTGGAATTATAATACAAAGTCCACCTACCTCCCTTTTTTACAGAGAAATCTCTATCAGCTTTCACTTGCTTTCTTTGTACAATTTCAATTTATCCCTGACAGCAAGTCTCATTTTTCTAAAGGAAAAAACTATATGCTCAGTTAAATGTCAAAATTCTTGTAGTAAAACATGGCAAAATAAATAAAAATACTAATGTGATTGGTTAGTTGCCGACAACACATTTGAATTTTGAAAAGTACTTCCGACGTAAATAATGCACTGAGAATTGGTATTGCGTGCGTACTAAAACAGATGATAAGAACTAATCATGTACCATCTCTTTGACATAACATTATTATTAATTGTTTTTAGAAAAACGAATTTTGGAATAGATGTGGTTAAAAATAGAAAAAAAAATTAATTTACGTGCAAAATATTTTATTATGAGAATGTGGTTGAAATGTCAAACTTGTTTAATTATATTTAGCATTTTCTTATCAATAACATTCTCCAACAAAATAATATTACACATAATTTCAAAAAAAATTCTTCTCCTTTAACCATACATTTTTCAAAAAAAATATATATATATTATTCCAACAATTAAAATTTCAAATAATGAGAGCCAAACGGGGGTTTATTGAAATCAAAATAGCCAAATTAGAACATTGTTCATCCCAAACTAAAATTATATTTATCACAAACTAAGGTCCGATTTGTAGAACATTGTTTAGTGGAAGACGGAGAAGGGTTTTGACGAAGGTGGGCTAACCCATTGGGGCCGTTCAGACGAAGTCAAGCAGGCGAGGTTCAAGCGTGAAGGTCGTTTTAAAATTAATATTGTGGTTTCACGCTCTTTGATGCTCAAATGGAAGATAGATTAAGATGGCAATGTAAAATTTGTCGCCGCTGAAGGATTTGGGAGTGTTGAATTTTAGAAAATCAATTTGCGGGAGGTTGGGGAAAAGTGTAACAATTATGTGGGTCCCTCGAGAGAAAAAATTAGGTGTCATTCTCTTTGTGTTTCAGTTTTGCGTTTTGAGTTTTGAAATC